CCCTTGTATTTCTTTGCCCAAGTTCCCTTCTGTTGTGTTCTTTCTCAATACTTGCCACTTGAGAAGGCATGGATGACTCAGCTACTTTATGAGAATTTCTTAGATTAGAGGGCAAAAGAAACTCGTTGAGGAAGTTAACCAATAATAAAAGGTATTTTTCTTTAGAATTTTTGAAGTTGTGGTATTCGTCTATTCAATTACGCTATTATTTAACGCCAAGAGAATGTGTTCGTGTAGTCATTCGCTGCAGTTTCAAAGATTAGCTTAAAATATGTTTTAGGAACGGAGGAATTTAAGTGCTTATACCAGCATGGAGTGTTATGTGAAGTACTGTTTAAGTCGCCATAATATTCACACACGGCATTTTATGTATAAAATCGAGATACTAGCCTGATAAACATTTAAATACACGTAAGCGTAGTCGACGTACTAACAGAAAGAAAGTTATTTCGATAGATTTTAGGCTCATTATAACAGTTTTTAACAAATATTTGTTTGTATGGTAGTTCATACACTTTCTTTGATGCAATTAGTGTTCGTTTGAAGTGACTATGGGAGCCCAAACACTTAGAAACGTCGCTTAGCAACATATTTCACTAAAAATGCAAGTAGCCATCGTTTTCCTTTGATAACTTATTTATCGGACTTGAAGCTAGGGATTCTATTTCTGGCAAATTCTAAGATCTTTTCGCCACCTTATCTAAATGGCCCTGAAGCCCTGTCCAGTCTCCTCTCCAAAGGGTATCAGGGTTTCACTTCGGTGAAAAGGTTGCTAGAGCGTGAAGCTGGATGAGGCACTCGTGGGTCATCGATTATGCTTCGCAGTCGAGCTCGATTTATTTATAGTCGACATGGCTGAATAGGGTGCCAAATGGATATGTGATGGTCTTCCTCACATGAGTTTCTGTTGTACCTTCCCATCTTAAAAGAAATTGTTTTCTCAACAGTACAGAATTTTGGGCATTTCACACCTGAACGGGATCCGGACCCAGGGTATCAGACCAAGTTATTTTCTTAAAACGCTTAGTCACCGGAACCAGTAGGTAATAACTGTGTTACGTGAAATAATACTATTTTATGTGTACGAGGTGCGATCGGATAGTGCGATTCTGCCTGAATCTCTTCTATCGTCTCAAATCTCCTTCCCTTTAGCTGAATTTTCATCTTTGGGAAGAGGAAGAAGTCACACGGAGCTTAGAAAGGAAGTTGGGGTCGGTTCTTGCAAGATCTTTGAGCTCCTGACAAACGAGAAGTCGATTCTGCTTCTGGTCCTCAGAGAGGATGCGTCGCATGTGGAGTTCTTCCTTTAGAATCAGCTGACAGGTCCCAACAATGTCGCACAAGTCGTTGATGGTACGACGTCGATCTTCGTAACATTTTCGGGCGTTGTGCTCGAAGATGGTCGTCCAGAATGCTCGTCATCATCGACAGGGGTTCGGCCATTTTTAAAACGTGAATGCCCCACAAAAGTTTGTGCACGACCCATTTCGAAGTATTTCCCCAAATGCTTGCTTTAGCATTTCATAGGTTTCCGTAGCCGTTTTGGCGAGTCTTTGGCAACATTTGATGCACACGCCATTCCGAAATCGCAGGAGGGTCGGTGTAATGCACTACCAAACCGCCCGTAACTAAGAAACAAATGCTAATTCGATGATGCCGGCTGGCACACTGATTCACTATGAATGTAGGCCGCACCCCCTAGCGGCAGAAGCTCGTACTACATCCGGTTCGCCCTCTGTTGACACAGTCTTGAAACTTTCCGATCGCACCTCGTAACTATTGCTTCTTAGTTAAAATTCCTTTTTTCGTGTTAATTTATAATTGAAATATGTTATAACAGCGTTGAAGTAATTTTCATAACGAAATATTTTAACAGTTGTAAATTCTGAACAATAAATTTTTCTCAGTCAGCTGTGTAAATATGGAATGTTAATCGATTGTTTTGGAGACTGTCTTAGTATTCATCATCAAGGACATCTACCCTGATGATGGATTGTAAGTCGCCCGAGAAAACTTTCTTGTATTCAGTCGCCATGAAAATAATTTTAGTAAACTATGTGACTTCTGTTGATAGCAGCGATGTATAAGGTAAACATACGCCACTGAGGCCTGTCCCTATTTGCCTCGGTCCTACTTTTAGTGTAAAAAATTGAATTAGCAGATTTTTAGAAGAAATGTATCAAGAAAACTGTATAGTCTAGCAAAAAAATTAAATTAGTCAAGTTACTGTCGCCAAATGACTTTCTTTTTTGTGGAGGCCTTCATGTAAAGCAATTTTTCAGCTTGTTTCATTTGAACCAAAATTTAAATTCAAGAGACAAAGTTCAGAAAGTTTTTCACATAATTCCGTCGGAATCAATTAATGCACGTGACGTTTCGTAATCTTGACAGAAAAATGAACATGTTGGTTATACATATAGTAGAAAAATGAAAGTTTGAAAATTTTGTAACAAAATTAAGATATGCAATATCAATCCCTAAAAACATCACTTATTTACTTACTCCATGGAACCGAGTTCTTTCTTAGAAGCCAACAGTCGCTCAACCACTCAAGAAATTCACAATATTTGATGGAGCCCGGAGGTTCATTACCGTGTTTAAAAGAATCCGCCACTGGTCCCTATCCTGAACCAGATGAATCCAGTCCATACCACCCCATCCTATATCTCTAAGACACATTCTAATACTATCCTCCCACCTACGACTAGATCTTCCTATTGGTCTCTTTCCTTCTGTATGCATTCTTCATATTTCCCATGCAGGCTACATGCTCTGCCCATCTCATCATCCTTGACTTGATCAGTCTAATTATATTTGGCGCGTAGTACAACTTACGAAGCAGCTTTGTCTAGCCTCCTAGTGAATAACCCTTCCCCTAAAGATTTTTTTTATTTCATTTCACTTTAATATTATTATTAAACAGTGCCAATGCTGCACTTCATATCTGGGACGGAAAATATTTTCATATTGATTTGCATCAATAAACTAACGATGAGTGTAGTAACTCGAACGTGTGCCACTTCTGAGAAACGGCATTCTTGATAATGTAACGGAGATGAACACGTCCAGATGTTGATGCAGTTAGCTTTACCTCCAATGACATGTGTTGCTCAGTTGTCTTAGACTGTTATAGTCTCCGTAAACAAGATTTTTATTAGGTGGGATTTCAGGTTTTCACGGCGAGCATTATAAAGATTATTGTATTCTTCAAGAGTTTTATTGGTCACTGTTGTTAACTGAATATGCTCCCAGGCTGCAGAAATACCACGTACAGGTCCCGTTAACACACAATTATCATCTGTCTGATTATATATACGGAAAGCAATTTTATGTAAAATGTTTCGTAGTTTATGATATGTGAATTCTTGCACTGTACTGCTATTACTTGTGAAACGCGGACATGGAATGTACCAAGAAATTTCTCAGTGGCCGAATATTAGCATTTAAATAGCGAATTTCTGTTCCCATGCGACGAATTTTTATTTTTGCTTGTGTGAGTCGACTTACTATCGTTTAGATCAGTCGTATTCAACCTTTTTTGTTAACGTAACCCCAGATATAATTGTCTTCAACTTTGTACCCCCAAAGTTGTTGGTGTATAATTCAAGTTATACATAATATATAATCTACATCTAAAATAAATTAAATAAATTACTGATTATTCAGTGTTTATCATAAAATAATATATATATTTTTTTAAATTTCACGTACCCCCTAAGATGTCTTCGCGTACCACCGGGGTACATCAGTTTCTAGAAGGACACGCCTTATATATTTTATCCAATTTATCTGAGACTCACTTGGTCTGATGCAATAGAATTAACAAGAAAAGTTGACGTTCAGGATTACCTTAATAAATACCTTTGGTAGTTGTCTTCCTAGTTCATGTTTCAGACGTTTCGGATCACATTTTCAGTCCGGATACCAGCGACACTGACTAAGAGTTTTCGTTTCTTTCCTCAGTCACTCTTGGAAAATACCAAGATTGAGAGTTAAATTCGTTACACGTTTTTAAATTGGGTGTAAACAAAGGTAAACACTGTTTACAAAAACGTCGTTCGTGCGATAATTTGATGTCCCTTAGCTGAGCGGTTAATCGAAGAGTTTTCTTTTATGTACCACGAGCGTGTTTTGTTATTGAAACAGAAACAAAAATCTCAAATAAATTAGATATATTACTTTTTCAGTAAATATAATATATTAATATCTTAATTGTTTTTTTCCAGTTAAGAAACAGAGCTCTTCATTAAATATTTTAATAATGCAGTCTATTTACATCATGCACCTGGCTCAGTATAGAGTTCGGTTGTGGGTTTTTGTGATCACGGTGATGAACCTTCGAATTCCATAAAGGAAGTTGGCTATTCTTTGACAAGTCGAGTATGCAATCGACTTTTCAAAGACTAATCTGTGCCACAGAGTGAACCTGTTCAAATCTTTATTTAGATGTGGATGTCGAGTGGTCCAAAGAACAAATATTAAACTTGATAGAAAAATACGAGTTGCGGAAATGTCTATGAAAATTAATGTTAAAAGGTTAAAAAACCAAACTAAGTGTTTGACTGAATAAAATATTATCATAATCCATAAAGTTTGGTAAGTGTTTTAACCGGCAAGATCTACTAATTTTTATAGTAGACTAACGTTCCATAAAATTTCAGCAATTTCTATGGCCGCTTATTAATTGTTTAAAAATTTTCCATGATTTGTTTATCAATGTATGTATGTTCGTGATTCTACAAGTTATCTCACAAGTTGGCCTATTGGATGCGGTATCAAGCTAAAGTTCTTGTCTGTAAGAGTAGATAAACATTAAGCATGTTATTATATCAACAGGACTTTGACATATTCTAGATAACATTTTATCCAATGCTGTCTTTTATTTATGAGTGACACGCGTCCCTAATCGCCCTCTGTACCGCTGTCTCGTTGGTTTATTTCCAATTCTTAACATCTGACATCATTGGCCCAAGGACGAATTAAATTCGTTTATATTCTGATACATTACCAAACTGATTTCCAGTTGAATTCATGCAGTTGCTAAAGATGTTAATGTTAACGTAATATATTCAAGACGTGTAATTTAGGACCTGCTACAAATCTCGGTTCCGGAGGTCTACAGCTTCCTTGTAACAAGTGATTTATAGCTAGCACGTTGGTGATTTTTATTTACGGGGCAATTTGATGGGCAAAATCTACAGAACGAACCGAATACAGAAGAATATTTGAAGGAAAACACTTGAAGATAAATTTTTGAAGTTCCTCAGGAAGAACTAAGAGAGGTAAATTCCAGTCTATTTAAAGAGTATAGTGTGACATAATTTTTCAGCACTTCTTAAAAATACAAGTTGATTTTATTGGTTGTATGGAGCTGTTCTTGACTCGCATTGGAGGTTAGTTAGTTTCTGCCAAGAGCTAGGAAGTGACAGTTGCGTTCAAGGTCATCGGTGAGCTTAGTGGATTAGCAACGTAGAATCTTCTACGAGACAAAGTTCAGAGATGAAATGTAACTCTAAAACCGAAGTCAACGAACGTGTGGTTTTGTATATCTTCTTATGGTTCGCAATTGTGTCATTTAATCGTCCATTCAAATGCCCGGAATTTGATTTCACAAGCGCAGAAGGACTGATAATTGTGAAATAAATATGTCCTGTCACCAGTTTCATAGGGACAGAAATTTTCTATAAAATTTAGACTTTATAGCGAACAGTTTCAAGAAGCACAGATTATCTAATTTATTTTCAAAACCTGTATCTGGCCGTCCACGGTAATACATATTCGTTAGTCAACCGAAATACAGTATAAGCCTTGATCGGTGGAAATATAATCTATATTCATTACATTCTCATAATTAATAAGTAGTTGTAGGATCTGAGGTTTTCACGGCGGTGAGTCTGAAGATGGTGTCTTCTGGGTTGTTGCGTCGTG